AAAAAAACTTCTGTATACACTACAACGACGTGCACATCATATTTATAGTTAAAAAAAATAGGCTTCGTTATCGTCGACGACGAACTTTTTTCTGTTCTTACAGTTGACGATGTGTATTAAAGTTTATCGTCTAGAACGCGAACACAAAGTACGACGAAGCACACAGTAGGGCACCTGGTTACATTACTCGAAAAGTACATTTTCACCATAGAGTGCTCACATTAAAAAATGAATCTTTTAAAATCACTTACGATCGATAGCAAGAATTACGCGTTGTATTCAGTGGCTAAGGAGCGTGTTGGTATGAATGTGGATATGGAATGAATATATTTCTCACATCCACATCCTTAAGATAACCGAACTAAAATTCTGTCCATTCTCAAAGCAAAACATATAACTAAAAACAAGCGATTTTATGTAAATTGTAGAGCTTTTCATGTTGCATCTTGTGATATGCTTTATTTTATTTTATTTAATACAGCGTATTAAGGAATTGGAAACTCAAACACAAAATGTAACTATTCAATATCCTGGTATGATATAAAAGAAATAATAGATCACAACAAATCATAAGAATTAGCATCTTGAGGGTGTGAGTATGGATATAGATGTGACATTGTAGAAGGCATACACCCACACTCAATTTTAATTCAATTCAAATTCAAAATATTTGCTTTTATCTTTACTTTTCGATTTTTATTCAGCATAAATTTCTTTCTTTTTTACAAAATCAAAATTTCATTAATAAATGCTTTTGAATCTTGTTGAATAGAAATATATGATGGATTATTTAGTTCTTTTGTAATTTCTATTAATTGATTTCTTAAATAATTTAAGTTAATTCCATTAAATTCATTTTCTTCATGAATTTGTTTTATTTGTTCAGATAAATCATTAAATTTCATTTCAATATTATAAATAAATGTTTCTAAAGATTTAATGACAATTTCTCTATAATCTTTTGCTTTTTGTTGAATTATTTCAATTGAATTTCTTTCCCATTGATTGATTTGTTTTATTAATGAATGATCTTGTGGATTTTGTTTTTGTTCATTAATTCTTTGTCTAAATTGATCATAATCGTTAATAATATGATTTAATTCTTCATTTAATATTTGTTGATGTTCTGTTAAATGTATTAAACAAAATTTTTTGAACATCCTTCACAAGAATATATTATTTTTTCTTTGTTACTTGTAAAACAGTGTGTTTTATTGTTTGCCATTGCCATGTCTTTGAATAACAATCCGTAGAAGAAATGAATAATCTCCTTATCTACTTTTATAGATATAAACTTAATAATTTAATGACAATAAAAACGTTGTTCAGTAAGATGGTTGCACTAAAATTAAAAATCGATTTCATTTTAGTTTCAAATAAATATTCAAGCAACTTTTGTGAGGTCTTTTTCAATGAAAGAATGTTTTGATGTAGATTGAGAATAAGGATGTAGGTATGTTTGTTAGTGAGTTCTCATTGATCCACATTTATTAGAATGGTTCTATTGTAAAACGTCGAAAGTAAAAATGTCGAATAGTAAAATGTCGAAAAAAAGACGTGGTAGGTAGCGCCATTTTTACCATTCGACATTTTTAATTTTCGACGTTTTACAGTGCAACCGTAGGAATATTGAATCGTTATTTTTTATATTCAGTTTATTTGTCTTTTTGAAATAAATATTTCGTAATACGATAAAAAAACAGTTAATTAAGTTGAAATTCTCCATATGAGAATCAACAGGAAGAAAAATAGAAGGAAAAAACAACAAACGATTAAGTCATATGATAGAAAAAAAAACAGAAATAGATTGTCAATATAAGCACATAGTCGAGTGTGTAGAGGATGTTAGGATCTGGGATGAATATAATACACATATACTTATACCGACACTCACACCCTCTGATAATATGCATGCATTTAATATAAGTATAAGTTTTACATGTTATTGTTTTTATTGATTAATTTATCATATATTTTATGATTATTATGAGAAATAACTATCAACTGAGAACTCATATTCTGTTCAAATATATGTTCAGATAATATGCTATTATCAATCAACATATATTCTTATTGTTATACCTATTAATCGTCTCTTTTCAAGTCAAAAAGAATAATTAATATTATATATTATTAGTCAATGAATAGTTGATTTTATTATATTGATACCAATGATTATAACCTAGCGTCTCATAAGTTAAAAATTATTGATGTTCTTAGAAAGTTAGAAATAACATAATATTATTTATTGTTTATTTCATATTTTTTTGTATCAGTACACTGGGACAAGATGGATATCAATTCGTATAGTGATTATAATCATTGCGATTCGTTCATTGTTACTATTTTCCTCTATGTTTGGTCTTCATTTAATGATGTTAGATATAGTTCTCAAATCAGACAAACACATACTAATGAAATATTATGAAGGAAAATTAATCGACATAACATTCACCTATTACAGTACGTCGCCTATCCATTTTCTGTATTTATGGGAGATTACAGCCTGATCTTCTTACTTGTGACAATTGATTTTAGAACCGAAGTTTCTTCATTTATTTATACAATTATTCCTATTTGAACTCAAACAAATTTATTCAGTATTATCATTCATTTATTTCGATATCGTTAAAAAGTAAGAGATTATCTTAATAGAAAGATCTTTCGAATATATTAAATCCTAGATTGCGTATAATAACAAATGATAAGTTCATTTTAAAGCATCTAAATAATAAAATGTTAAGTATATAATTGACTACTTATGAAATGATGCTTGGCGTTTTTTCAATCGTACATTTATAAAGATTTGACAAAACTATTGAGTTTGTATATACGTAGTTCAATCTCTTATGATCTATCGACTACAATCATAAATGCTCACTGCATTTCCATTATAAATCTTAGTTATTCAAATTAGAATAATGTGTTTTCTTTTCTATAGCAACTATATATGTATCAATATAATTCAAAAAAGACGTTAAAAATTGTGTGATTCTATGGAAATAATATTTTATTCAAACACCATGATATATCGTCAATTTTAAAAGTAAAAGAATAAAAAATTTTCTCTGTAAATATTTTACTTATCTACTGAAGATTTTTTCTTCATTCTGTATATTACGAGGATGAATGATTTCTTTCAAGGTAAATAACTTTGTGTTTGTTTTCTTGTCTGTATGAAAAGAAATACAGGAAGAAATTTATTTTTCAAAAATAATATATATAAATATTAAGCGTGTAAAATTACCATACCTAAACAATGTAAAAGAAGGATTATGTCGTAGTGACATAAACGTAAATATCTAAGACAAAAAACAACATACATTTTTTATTCACAATAAGTAATAATATACGTCATTATTTGTTATTTTTGAGGTAAGCATTCGAAAAAGATATTGATATATACCTAAAATAATAAATATTATTCATTCATACTATATATTATACAGGTGCATACATATGATAAAAGTTAATAAACGAGAAAAATCTTCTTCAAATAATTAAAATTGTTTTCGTTAACAAATTTGTTTTTAAATAAATATTCTTTATCTATAGATTAAATGGATTATCTTCCATATTTCTTAAAATATTATAATGTTGATCTACAACCAACTAATTCAAACTGTATCGATATAGAATTGGCCAAAGATCTCCTATATCCTGGTGCTCATATTGCAACTTCAAATCCTTATGAACATTATCATCATGGTATTGTCATCGATACAAATACACCTGATATATCTATAATTCATTTATGGGGTGCTGATAAAGATAGTAGCCGAGTTCAGACAACTACATTACCAATATTTATTGCTGGTAGTATAGATGCTGTTGGTAAAAATCTACGTCATCTCTATCTAGTTAATTACGATGGTGATACCGTGGAAAAACAACAAACAACTGTTGAAATAGCGAAAAACATGCTTGAAAATGCTGATGATATTAAATACAATCTAGCTACTTCAAATTGTGAAGGTTTTGCTTGTTTTTGTCGAACCCTCAAGTGGCATAGTGAACAAATAGAAAAACTTACGAATATATTGATAGAAAATGCAGCAGATATATATGAAAAAGTTAAAGATGCTGATGAAAACAATAGAAGAGACATTTTCTCATTGCTACAAGCTGGTCCAATCGATGCTTTGGATCCATCACAAAAAGAATTGTATGGGGATTTTCGTGAGAAATATAATTGAAGCGTAGTACACTAATTAGAAAACTAATAATTTGATTGACTTATGTTCCTGAAATTCATATAATATTCATAGTAGTTCTTTTTGAAAATAAACTAACTTTCTTTTTTATTGTATTTCTCAGTTCTAATCTTCAAATTTAATATAAAAAAACACAATCATTTTTCTCTTCTGCAAGTAAAATAATATTTTATTCGTTATTCATTTAGAAATGTAACGACATATTGCTTTTGTTTTCTTTTTCTCTCTTTCAACGCTATTTTATTACACAATAAACATTAAATAAGTGACTAGCTTCTTCTTCACGTTCGTTACTTTACATAAAATCATTTCAATTGTTCTACACAACTGCAGCATTCCTCTGTTCTTAGAAGCCTGTAATATTTTTTAGTAAGAAATCAAAAAGTGATATTTACTTATTATATTAAACCATATTAGTTTCCAAATTAATCATAATTTTTTGGCAAGTATACAAAAAAAATAAGTCCATATTGCCCTTGCTATGTAATATTTATCTTTAGTTTAGGTATTCCAAAAAAATAATGATTATTATTGTCAAATAAAAGTTATTGACAAATTAGGATGTGAATGATATAGATGTGGGTGTAGAGATTGAAGAAGATTTTCAATGAGACTATATCAAAATCGTTCTTGGTGATATTGAAAGGTTTTTTTGGCACTTATTAGAAATATTCAAAGTAACGTTTCGACATTAAACGCTACAAATACACCGTCTAAAATATTACTTCGGATATTTAAAGAGTCTTTCACCACTGTCATCGATGAATTTGATTAAATTAAAATTCATAATGAATAATCTTACGGATATGAGTTGCGCATCGTCTCATAGCCATACGTAAACAGAGAGAATGATACCCATTGATTTCTAGAATAACAAAGCTGCATATTGATCTTTTCAATACATATTTCTATTTAGATAAAAAACCTCTATACATCAATCAAAATATTGTTTTTTCAGTTGTTGAACTATCGTTTGTTGGAAATGAAATAGTATGCTTCTCCAGTGTATAGCTTATCCGACCTGTTTTAGTCAAAGATAGCCCACGTCCCCTTTCAATTCTTTTCAAAAAATCCAATTTGCTTTCGCCAGGTAAAACAGCTATTGGAGCTGATCCAGGAAGATTTTCAAAGTTAACGAATCCTTCGCGCATTTGTGCGTTTTTCTGTTTGCCACTTATATTTCTCAACTGTTCAGTCGTACATAATTCATACCAAATTGTCAATCGACATTTTGGTTCATGTGGATAAATGACTCGATGAATACCAGGTTTCAGACGATTTTGTGTCGCTAGAGATGCTGCCTCTCCCAACCAAATAACACCTATATTCGGTTCTAAAGGTCCATCAATCCATTCATTATTTGTTAAATTTTTCAACTGTAGTCCTTCGCAAGTCGATAATATACTAATGGAAAGTAGTCCTGGATCATAATGTGGAACACAGTTGACTTCTTCAGTTGTTTCTCCATTTTCAGGTGGTTGAAAACCATTCTTATCGTTGAAATATTTTACAACATCGAGCATACCAAAATGTTCATCTTGAAATGGAAGATCAGCATGTTCATTAAGAGATAGCAAAGACGGTTGTTGTTGAAATACTTCATACTGATCAAGAATTGCGATTAAACATTTTGTTACTGCATCTAATGCTTGAGCAAGATAGTTCAACGGTTGAACGAGTGTACTTGGCACCAATCCTCTATTTGCCAATCTACCAAAATGACTTCCAGTTAACAATTTAATTCCTTCTTTGTGCTTAAGTTTCGTAAAGCCATAGACTGCGGATGGTTGTGAGTATATTTTTGTTCCCGTATTAGTCGTAAAAAAATTCGATATTTCATCGATCATGTTTGAGTCTGGAATGAGTTCTGCAGGTAAATAGACGAAACACCAGCCATTTAATTCAAATTCAGTTACCATCTGTTTTATTTGAGTAGAATCCTTTAGATTTAATATTTGATTCAAATCTATTATCACTTGTGCTTGCTTGTTCGATGAAGACATTTTTCAGCAAATGTCTGTGGTATGTTGAGAGTAATGTTAGTTTCTGGATATATTATAATTATGTAGCAATCACTTCAACTTATAAGTAAAGAAAAAGGTTATTACACAACGTTTTTGTTTTCATATCACGTCACTACTTGTGACATTATACTTACTCATCGATTACTCATCCATCACATGTGTTTCGAAGAAGAACATCATTCTATCCTCAATGAGTTAGTTTTTGATATCATAGAAAAACAATAAAATATAATGAAAACGAATGCTACCTGTTTTGAAGAAGAATCAACGATAGAACAGAGTTACCAATAAATAATTTTTGAATAAAATAAGTGTGTGTATGACTATTCACTTACACTCATATCCTCCAAACTCATCGTCAAATCACATGAATAAAGAATAAGTAGATTGCAAACACGGAATACTCAACTCGAGTGGGAGCAAGAAGTGTATACAAAATTTAGAGAAATGTACAGTAAACGATCGAGCTCTTGTTTAATTGTGTGAAAACTTTTGAGGTTGGTTATTAGAGATGTCTACTACATATAAATTCGTTTGAATATCGACTATTACCCAATAAGAATAGTTTAATTGGTTCGAACCTAGATAAAGACCGATGACCCGCAAATAGCCTGGAATTGAACTCACTCTAGTATTGCATCTGTGATGAACTAGCCGGGGCAACGAATTGATTTTGTAGAAACTGATTAAATTCGGCGTTTTTTAAAAAACAACTTTGGTTGATTCGATGATTTTTTTACCGAAATATTAGTTTCGATCTTCGATATGAGTTACTTGAATAAATTTATTGATATCAGAAATAGAAATTGTCAATACAATATATATACTCATATGTAGTGACACAGTATATCGGATAGATTTTGGGTGACATCTATCTAAGTTCAAATATACTTAATTAATCTGACATTCAAATTTCAAGTCTAATGCAGTTAATTAAATAATTAGGAGTAATAATTTCTAAAAGAATAAAACATCAACTATTATGCAAATATCAAATTTATCTCCAATCCTATGATAGTATATGATTCATACCATTTCTTTTTTCTTTGTTCCTTTCATATATTCATATGACGATAGTTGCCATTTATTTTGTTCCCGATTGATCGAGTCATTTATCATACTCCATCATACTTATTTGTTCTATTTCATTTGTAGATCTACTTTATTTTTTTAAATACATAATGCAATCATATGAAGAAGCTCCTCCACCATATCCGGGTGCAACGTCGAATGTTGCACCGAATATAGTCACATCTAAAGGTGATTATCGTGGTGTACCAGTATATGAAATAGGATCGAATGATATGCCTGTTTGTAAGTTTGTTTTTTTTTTCATTTTATAATCTAAAGTAAATATAACTATTCAGACGGTCAAACAACATATCAACAATCACCATATCAACAAGCACCAGTAATGATGTCTGGGCCGACTGTAATTCAGGCACATGCTGTTAAAGTTGGTCATAATCCAGTTCATTGTATCTGTCCTCAATGTCATCAACAAATTGTTACACGAGTTGATTATGTATGTATCAATATAATAAATACAAAAAAAAACATAGATTTTGAATGGTTTCTTTTTTTTCGAATAGGATTCTGGTTCATTTGCATGGTTGATGTGCTTGTTATTAACTGTTATAGGGTAAAGAAATTGTTTTTATTATGTTTATTAATAATTGATTTTCTTTTAGTTGTGTTCCATGTTGTGTAATTCCATTTTGTGCAACATCATGTCAAGATGCTACTCATACATGTCCACACTGTTCAGCTATGCTTGGCCGTCGAAATATTCTTTAATTATAGGTGCATACGTCCATATAAAACAGTTTACTTTTCTCATGCATAACCTTGAATATTTTGTATTATTCTCGCTCTTCTCTCTTAAGTCATTGTTCAATATATTCGAATGATCTGTTGATTTACCTTTATTTTATATGAAAGGATTTCGTTTTTTCTTATGTATTACTTCTGGTTTGTTTATTTATTTTGTCGAAAATAAAATCAACACCTAATTTATCCTTTTTCAAAGTGTTAACAATAGCGTCTCTATTTTTTTTGATTCTCAAGACTAAAAAATGTTATTTAATAATTTATAGATTTGAATACTCGATGTCTTCAGGTACAGGCGATTCCTTAGTAACATCAACAATGAAAAAACCATATTTAAAATCAGATGTAAGTATAAAATATTTAACAAAAAATAATTTCATTGAAATCATTTTTATATCTTAGGAAATTCACCAACGTACAGGAGAATTAAAACAATCCTTAGCAATATGGCGTAATATTCTTCTACCATTAAATAATTTACTTGAATGGGAACATAAATATGATCCCCTTGTTATTTTTGGTATTATTACATTCATTTTTATGTAAGATTATTTCATAGTTTATATAAAGAAGAAGTATTTATTGAAATTTTGTTTGTTGTTCTAATATTAGCTTTATACTACAAGCAAATCCATCAGTACTTACACTTGTTAGTTGTGTTATTTTGGTTTTTGTACTTATTGATTTACTTGTACCAATGGCAATTCGTATAATTTATAAAAATGACAATTGGTTAGTTATTAAGAAAAATTCTTCGTGTTTATATTGATTAATTATAGGACATCAACTAAGGATAGTAAATATACTCGATTATGTGAACGTATTGCTAATTTTGAAGATCATATTAAGCAATTATGCGAATCAGCATTAAAAATGCGTAAAGAACGACCATTAATGGTTAGTTTTTTCGATTTGAGAAAAATATTTTTATCGTATTTTATATTTAGTATTTAATGATTGGTGCTATCTTTCTTGCGTTTATTGCATTTTGCGGTCAACGTATTGACAATCTTCTTCTTAGTTATTTAACAAGTAAGATATTTAATATTCTTAGATATATCTATAAATATTCTTTTAGCTCTTACAATTTGTCTTGTACCGGGTATTCGCAATCGTCAATTAATTCCATTCATTCGTCAATATATAATCGAATTTTGGAATAATAAAAAATCAATCGCATCATCATCATCATCATCATCAACAAATGTATCTGTATCGAGTTCAACTCCAACAATCTCATCAGTTCGTACATCAGCCATTGTTCGTCCTTCGTCAACTCAACCAACACATACACTCTATTCAACAACATCTTATGGAATTAATAAAACAAAAGCTCAATAATTATAATAATTCAACAACAAATATTCAAAACTATTTTATCATCTCTTTCTTTCTTTTTCTACCTTCTTATACCTGTACAGAGTCGCTCAAAGTGTATCTACGTTAAATATATATCAAAAATCTTCAAAAGACAAGAAAAAACAGAACAAATTTTTGATGAATGTAATCTGACTACATGATCAAATACTTATTGATAGATATTCGTTCCTTTTTTTCTCTCTTCTTTTTCCTATATAATAAAATACAGCATAGCACCAAATCTTGTTTTTTTTTCTCTAACTTCATTGTATTCAAAATAATCAACAACAAAAAAATCAAATAGAAATAATTTGAATTCATGTAAATATTTTAGATCATTTTATTCGAATACTCATTCAATACAGGTAAATTAATTTATTTACTAATGAGTTTATCAGTTACTATACTTAAGTCATTGTACGTTGTAGGTATACGATTAAGGATAGTATGAGCATGAAATTGAATAAGATTTAACTAATCGATGTTTAAATAAATTCTAATAGTTATGTTTTTTTTATATTAACGCTCAGTAATCTACTAATTATTATACATATATTTAAATAAATCTAGTCAAAAGTCGTAGTTTATTTTTGTTAATTATTTCAAATTAGAATTAAAGGTAATGCTATTTTTTCATGTTCAATAATACTTGGAATAAAATCAATATCATCATCTTCTAGTATTTTTGATGCTTCTTTCCATGCTGTATAATAATTATTCATTTCATCAAGATAAATTATTTCAGCTTCGAGATATGACCATCCTGTAATTTCATCTCGATCTGTAGGTTTTCCATTACGAAATTTTAATATTTGTAAAGCTCGATCTGCAAGTAAACATCGATTATTATGAATTTTTATTGGATTTGAAATATATTTAAATGTATGATGTTGATTATGTTCAACTTTAGATAAACATTTTGAACATATATTATAATTTAAACATTGACGACATTGATAGTGTTTTCCAAAAAAATTTTTTTCTCTACATGAATTACATACAATAGATAAATTTCTTTGCATCCAATGTGTATTAGATTGAGGTTTACCAGGACAAAAATGATGATCAGATGGATGTGAATTAAGTCGTTCTGTTCTATGTTTAACACAACCGAGACATACTATAACATTATTACATGTTTCACATTCGAAAAAAAGTTCATTTTCACAATCAATTAAATTTAAACATAAATCACAAAAACCAAATAAAGATTCAAGATAAGATTGACTAGAAAATATTGGCTAAATAAAAATATACGATTACGAAAAAAAAGAATAAAATTTAAATTTAAACAAACTTTTAAATTATTATCATCCATATTTTTAACGAGTTTGATCATGATGAATAATATTTATACTTGGCAGGTATTTTACTATATAGAAAAAAATAAATCAATCAAGTGTGACTGTTCTTATTCTTTACGTCATCGTAAAAGAAAACATAAAGTTATTTTCCAAATTATATGTATACATTACTTAATTACTAGTAGTTAGATGTTTTCGATCAGTTATAAATCGTATTTTTTGATAAGAAATTATTAACATATCATAACGAATTCAATAGTTCGATATTCTCTATAAGAGAAAAAATGTTGATAGATATTAATATGTTACGTCAACAATAATTATTGTCAGTTTTTTAAACTTTAATTGTCTTTGTGTTTCTGTTAATAAAGCTAAGGTTGTTATTATACGCATTATTTTTTTACTCTGAAAGAACGTAATTGTATTGTAGAATACGAATTTATTGAAACCTATGAAAATCTTGTTGATGATTAGAAGGTAAGCAACCTTCAAACTTGTCAGTTAAATATATTTAAAGCCCTTTAAAACGCAATATACATAAGAAATCGATTGTAAAAAACATGATGTTTTAAAATACCAATCTACCAACAAATTTTTATTTTTTAGTTATTGATATTAATTCTAATAAGCGTCTTTAATCATATTTATTTAGGAATAAAGATGTAACCTGACTTTACGCCAACAGAAAGTATAGTAAAATAGTATTATTTTTTACTAATCTATGTAACATGTCGCCAACGCATTATTAATCGGATTGTTGTTATTGACATTTGTCATATTTGATGACATTACTCGTTATATAGTATATATTAGTAATCATGATTCATTCTTCCCTATCAACAACTATTATAGAGTTCTTCTTGTTATCGTAGAGAAAAATCAATAAATCTTCATTGATACTTGTTTCATATGATTAATGTATGAGTATCAGTTTTCTAATTCCTTTAAAAGAAAAATAATCCATGTCATCGAATATACTATTTTTAGGATTATTGACGGTTTTATATATAATATTATTCCGATTGCTTTTTAAAGGATAACATAATGTGTTGAATGAAATTATTAATAATTGATGAAATGTAAATCTGTTAGAGATTAATGAATATTAGAGAGTCATAGAAAACACATGTGTAAATTGACATATACATATAATATCATATTTTTCTCATTAGTAATATTAACATGATCTATATTTAAATTGTTGAATCTGATTAAAGATTAGCTGTGTTACACTGAAGATATATTTATCATGACAATTTGATTAATAAATTATTTTTTAAGTAATATCCATTAAGCGCTTCTTTTTTTTCTTTGTAGACATTTTTTATTTTTATTCGATTTTAAAAAAGACGTATAATTATGCCAAAAACTCGAAAAACACGACGTGTTACAACAACTAATCCACTAAGTCGACCGAAGAGAGCTTCAACAAAAGTTAAGAGTACTAAAGTGAGTTTTAAAAAGATTTTATATTATTATTTTCATTACTTTCTATGCATAGAACGAAGAAAATAAGGTCGCTTATTATGATCTTGTTTCTCAACCTAATGAATCTATTAAATCAAAATCAACAGGCAATTTTATTCGTATACCGAAAAAACCACCACGAAATTTAAAAGTAGCTGATGATTGGGATGTTAAATCAGGTGATGTTCTTTCATGGAGTCAAGGTCGACCAACAGAAACATTCTTGTAAAATTTATTCTTGTTCAAAACTTTCATTTCGAATTATCTTATTCTTTATTTTTTGTGTATAGTGTTACTTCAGAAGGAACACTTTTAAAAAATCCCGATAAATCTGGTTCAGGTTATTTAACAATTCCACTTGCAATAACTTCGCAATTTTCTGATGTTCTCAATTGTTTTTCGTCTGTTTTGGATGGTGTTGGTCGTAATTATATAACAAATATTGAACTTGCACCAACTGATTTATTTTTTACTACCCATTTTTCAAAACAACCACTTCCTACATCGATCAAAAATCGAAAGGATATATCTTATTCATTTGATCCAAATGATGAAATTCTCTATGTTACACTTGAATCAAATCCTAATCAATCTCAAGATTTTCCATTAGATACAACTAAAACAGATGATATTATTCAATGGATTTCAGTAGCAAATGATCTAAAAGCAAAATTTAATGTTAAATATAATTTTGAAGGTAAAGAAACATGCAGTAAAGCTCCTCGTGGTATCATTACTGGTTTACCAACTGGATGGCAATGTCAACAGCAAGGTTCATTAATGTTCGGTTCAGATAAAATACAAGGCGAATGGAAATGTGAAGGACCAGAAAAAACGAAAGATAAAGCACGAAAAGCTATTGAAAAATATTATAAAGGACTTAATGTAGAAATAAAATAATGAAATAATTTCAATTCTAGATTTAAAAAAAGAAAATTAGATTTTCATATTATGGATTTAACCGATATTGGTATCGAACAACCTGCTCGATATTTTGATTTAGTAAAAAAACCAGAAACATTAAAACGAACAAATGGCATTCCAATTCCTGATTCAGAATTTCAAGATTTTCATATAAATCGAACTTCGATTCCAGAAGATTGGGATGTAAGTTTTGGTGATGTAATCAATTGGTCCAAAGGACGTCCAACAGAAGCTTATTTTATATTAGAAGATCGAACTTTATTTAAAAATCCTGATCGAAGTGGATCAGGTTATTTAACTATTCCATTTAATGTTACCAGTAAAAAAAATTTTCTGTTTATTTACGAAATATCTTAGTTATTTCTTCTATTAGAAAATAGTCGAAATGCCTTGCTTAGATATGAATATGTAATTGAAGGTGTTGGCAAAAATTATGTCACAACTATTGAAATGCATCCCGAAGATATATTTATTAAGAAAAATTGGGGTGAAGTACCAAGTGAAATGATTTCACGTAATGTTGAATTTGTTTATGATCCACTTGAAGAATTTCTTTATGTAAATATACCACATACAAAAAAATCAAAAGAATTTAAATTAGGTTCAACTACGATGCAAGATATGCAAACATGGTTTGCTGGGTAAATAAAAATTTTATTTCATTTTGAAAAAATTTCTTTTCTTATTCAGTTGATTTTGATTTTTAGTGCAATGGAAGATCAAGCTTCTTTTAGAGTTAAATACAATTTTACAGGTCCTCATTATCAAAAATATCATGATGTTTATCAATTAAATACTGCACATTTTTCATTACCTAAAACATGGTCGGTTGAACCAGGTACAACAGACTTAGGTCATGATTATTGTCATGGAGAATGGAAATTTCATGGTGAGTTTATTTTATATTTCTTCTCTTTTTCTAAAATAATTCATATTGTTTAGGTGATCGTAAACATTTAAATGAAGCGAAGAAAGGTGCACAAGATTTCTACAAAGATCTTCCCATTACAATTGAAGATATACATCATAAATGAATATCAATGATCAAAGAATATTCTTATACAATCAAAATATAGATACTTGAAAGAGAATTTTATTCATACATTCCATTTATATTATTCCAGCGTGTTTTTTTTTATATATTTGATACATTTTATTAAATTCTTTTAGTATGCTTTACAAAGATAAAACAACAAAAATACATTTTCACATGAGATTGATTTATTTTTTTTTAATTCTTTTTTTGTTATACAAAAAA